TTCCCTTTCTTCAAGAATGTACTAGGGTCCATTCAAGTGTCTGCTAACTTTCCAAGTGTTAAATGGAGCCATCTTCACCAGGTGGCAAGCACCTAGACGATAGACTAGACTAATATTACACATCATTTTGGGGTTAAAAAATAAAATGGCTTACAATTCTAACTCTGTGAAGTCAAAGAAAACTGAAGACCTACTATGCTTTGTCAAAAGGTTGGAAGATGGCGTCTAAGGGTGTGATTCATGGTACAGCACCCGCCAAGCACGGGTGAGATCCTGGGCTGGTCCAGCACATGCCAAGAACGGGTGACATCCTGAACTGGTACAGCACATGGCTGTCAGGAATATTTCCTAACCGAGCTCTCTGACGACGCAAAAATTCCCAATCAAGCCAAATCAAAACAAGCCGAATTAAGAAATATCCAGGTTTAATGGAAGATCTGCGCTCTCGGGTGGCCCCGAGGGGGGAAACCGGGAAGCCGCAGGAACACAACCCCCAGGAGGAAGAAAGGGGGACCACATGTTCTTCTTTTGGGGGATCGCTTAAGTACCCAGGGAGGGGTCAGGACTGGCCTGCTGGGATTTGAAGTCCAGACCAAGCCTGGGGGCTGAGATAGATGCCAGGGACTGGGGCCTAGGCTCCCAGCCTAACATTCCAGACTCTTTGGCTATAAGGGGTGACAGAGCATTGGAATGGTATTTATGACAAACACTTAGGCTCTCTTGGGAACAAAGGGCGTAGACTCAAATCTGGCTACTTCCTGCGGGCACGGGGCGGCGTGGAGGAAGGGGAGAGCCAGGTGTCCACGTTTAGCGAGAGGTGTGGCTGGAAAGGCATCCTATGAACTGTCATCCTGGAGAAGGCAGGTATCTGTTCCTTGGGGGAGATGAGAAGGCAGGTGTCTGGGAAAATGTTAAAGATGAGTGTGTCAGAATGAGGAGCAGGTAGTTCCTTCATTGCGGCATCCTGGAAAACCGGAAGGTAGAAGTTCCTGTCTGCTGAGCAGATCAAGTGTCCTGAGTAGGTGCCCGCTTGAGCCTGGAGAAATGGTACCAGCATGGATGTCATAAGAGCTTGGCAGCCGCGGGTGTGGTGAGGATTACCGTGTGAGGTCCTGTCCATGGAGGCTCGAGAGACCTAGAAGTTAACTGTTTAAGGAGTACTCTGTCCCCTGGGGAGAGCAGGGAGGCTTAGGGGAATTAGGGTCCCCTGGTGTGGGGACAGGGAGACAACTGTCAGAGTGTGAACGGAGAAGAGACCTTAAAAGGGAGAGGTAGGGTAGGTACCCCGCCAGTGGAGGAGTTTGAACTGGGAGGTGATGGTTAAGGAGAAAGGGTCTGCCATAAAGCAGTTTAAAAGGGCTCAGGCCCGTAGGGGAACATGGGGTGGCCCTGAGGCCAGGGCCAAGATAACCTTAGTTCAGTGGAGAGCTTGGTAGGTTGTCGTTTGATGAATCCCATTTTCCAGGAGATGTGAGCTTCTGACACGAGCTCCATGACTCTGAGCACCGCATTTGCTGTTTCCCTGGAGACTGGAAACACTTCTATCCATCATGTAAAAGCATCCACAAGTGTTAAGAGACAACAAAGTTTTTTATGAGTATGCATATGAGTGAAATTAACCTGCCAATCTTTGCCCGGTTGTGTCCACGAAGCTGGTGTATGTGGAGAGCTCCTTGTGGGTTGGCCTGTGGGGCCTCGTCCGGCTCCCAGACTAACAATGGCTAGCACGTGTGAGATCCTAGGCTGATACAATACATGCCTAGCATGTATGAGATCCTGGGCTGGCACATGGGAAGAGATTCAGTGTGGAAAATCTAGCATATGGATACCTATACAAGAATGGTAGAAGAAATCCCAATATTAAAATGTCCAGAGCTGGATGCTGTGGCACATGCCTGTGGGAATCAGAGGCAGGAAATTCAGAAGTATGAAGCCAGCCTGGGCTATACAGTGAATTCAAGGCCAGCCTCTGCTACACACTAGGATCCTGTCTTTAGAAGAAAAAAAATACTCCATAAGTCTCTTAAGGTAGATGAAAACAACTGGTCCTATTGGAATTCACTGGCTCATATATATATATTGCTTTTAATTATGTTGAAAATTCATATGGTATATTTTGATCACACTTTCCCCTTCCCCATCTCTTCCTCCTCACCACCCCCATCTGTCCAACTCCACCCCTTCTTTCTCTCTCTTTAGAAAACAAATAAGCAAACAAACCAGAAAAAAAAGATACTAGAAACACATCTAAACATAAAAACGCAAAACTGGAAACAATAGTATACAAACAAAATTCCAGTGGGATGAAACTTGCCAAGCAAACCAATATGAGACCAGAAAAAAAAAATCTAGGAAACCACCAAGGAGTACATGCTCTGCTGGCCACCTACTGCTGGGTATCAACCCTGTGAAACGGGTTGTTCATTTGCAAATCATTGTCCATTTGGAGATAGCTTCTTGGTTAGAAATGGGAGCTCATGTCCACTTCCCCTTCTCAGTTCTGGGACCCCACATGGCCCGAACCTACGCAGGCCCCGTGCACGCTGCTACAGTCTCTGTGAGATCATGCGTGAGTCAGTCCTGCTGTGGTTGGAAGACACTGTTTCCTTGGCATCACCCATCCCTCTGTATTTATTTTTATTTGTGCACATGTGTGTATCTGTGGAGTGGGGGTTCCCACAGAAACCACATGGGAGTGTCAGATCACCTAAAGTAGGAACTGGAACTGTAGGTATAGACAGGTGTGAACTCACCTGCCATGAGAGCTGGGAACTAAACTCGGGTCCTGGGCAAGAACAGAAGTGTCCTTAACCACTGAGCCATATCTCCAGGTTAACTGCTCCACCTTTTCAATAGGAAATTCTGAAGCACACTCAAGAAACAATACATAGCCTGATTCTAGGGGAAAGCAAAACCCTACTAACAGAGTAGCATTTTTGGAGTTGAAGACCCACATAGCTACTTAGTATCCATAAGCCATTCTGAAAAGCCTTATGCTCTTATGGTTTTCTTTGTAACAAGTGAAGAGGAAAAATGGTAGCTAGAAGAACAGGAAGAGAAACAATAAAAGATATAAATGAAGCATAAGAGTAAGGAAGAGAAAAGAGAATAACTCAAAGTAGAGGACTTTGCATACATAAAGGAAAGAAAACGCAGGCTAGGGAGATGGCTCAGTGGGTAGGAGCATTTGGCATGCCAGCATGAGGACCAAGTTCTCAGAAGTTCACAGAAGCCATGTGAAGCTGGGTGTACAACCCGAGCATCTGGCAACCCAGCACTCCTACAGGGAAATGGGCAGCAGAGACCAGAGGCTCCCAGAATCTCTCAGCCACATGGTCTAGTGCACACAGCAGAAAAACAACAGAGACACATCTCAAGAAAGGCAGAAGGTGAGGATGGACACCTAAGGTTGTCCTCTGACCACTACACACTCTTTAGCAAATGGACACCCCCATACACACACGCACACACACACACACACACACACACACACACACACACACACACATACATGTGTATAAAGAAAGAGGGGAGAAAGAATTCAGAAGACCTAACACAAACTAAGTTTTCACAATCTAATAAGCTATGGCCTCAAGACCTTTAATCATGGTGCTTTGAAATGTCAATTAGATGCTGGGCCTCTTTGTAAAACAGTCGCTATCTGGTTATTTTTCTCACAGCTAGGTAAAAAATTGTTACTAATAACAGCTGCCAAGTTTAGAGGACATCAGGGGATTACTTCTTCATGCTGGACTTTTATTCATGCAAAGTCATAAATAAAGGTCAGACCAAACCAAGTCTGCCCAAACTAGGCAAAGAGAGTTTCCTGCTCCAAGATCTGTGTGCTCCAAATGCACAGAGTCTTCTAAGCAAAGAGGGACACCCTACATTGCTCTCTAACTTCAGTCTTCTCTATATGTCACCATAAATCCAGAATCCTGAGTTAGAACCAGGAAATTCCCCTTTGCATTTCCTATATTTTGTATGGATTCAGATTTCCCACATTCCCTTTCCTGACCTTTGTGTCTCTACACTGAAATCCTGGATCTCTTTCATCTTCTTAGCAATGTCTGCATGCTATGCAATTGTTCCAGAAACCAGGAAGTCGCTATGACCGCTGCAAGCATTCCACATATTGGTAAGCCAAGACCCAGGAAGGTTAAACAATCTGGCCAAGGTCCCAGAGTAATTGGCATAGCCAATGTCAGAGCTTGGGCTGCGGACTCCAAAACTCAGTCACTGTATCCTCTTCTCACTTCTTCCTGATGCTGTCCTCTTTCTTGCCTTTCTGCTGCCCTTTAATCAGACTGGATCATCTGTCTGTCCTGTAATAACATCTGACTGTTCTTCAGCGTCTTCATGAAACTATCTTCCTGAAGGAAGTTAGCTCATGATCTACTTCCCCGAAGTGATATTAGCCAAAAACCTACGTTCCAGACAAAGGCTTTCCCAAATTGCTCCTCAAGTCAATGCTGACCACATGAGAAGTATTTGTTCTTACAAGGAGTACTGCCTGGCCTCTCCTCTTCCCATGTAGGGTCTGAATTAGTGTGCCTACCTGTAGGATAAAGCTTTGAGATTCTCTATCAAGCTTATGTAGCATGTAAGAGGATTCACTGAAGCGAATACAAACCGGGTGGTTAAAAAAGCAAAGTTCAGCTCACTAAGAGAAAAAAGGTTGTTACCTCCAAGAAGGTGTGCCAACTAGATGGAGTCTTCATCCAAATGGTGGTAGCCCACACAAATGTGCCTCAGACAGCGGCAAGTAGGGAGAACTCAGGTTTTGTCATATTGCTAAAATCTAAATGTGCCCGAGGCTCTTGGGCAACATTAACTCAAAGAATTTGTATTCCTAGAGAACTCTGGGTTGTAAGGTGACCTTCATAAAGCCTTTCTGGAATGGTAAGATCATTCTCTATCATTCTGAGGACCACCACTGCAGGTGTGGTTGCCAGGGAAACAAAGAGGATTTGCTAATGTGGCCTCCTTCTCCTTTCCAGATCCTGGCCATCGTGTCTATCCTCTTCATTGTGCTCTCCACCATCGCTCTGTCTCTCAACACACTCCCGGAGCTGCAGGAAAACGACGAGTTTGGACAGCCCAGCGACAACCGCAAGCTGGCCCACGTCGAGGCAGTGTGCATTGCTTGGTTTACCATGGAGTACCTTTTACGCTTCCTGTCCTCACCAAACAAATGGAAATTCTTCAAAGGCCCACTGAATGTCATTGACCTGCTGGCCATCTTACCGTATTATGTCACCATCTTTCTCACCGAGTCCAACAAAAGTGTGCTGCAGTTCCAGAACGTGAGACGCGTGGTCCAGATCTTCCGAATCATGCGCATCCTCCGGATCCTGAAACTCGCCAGACACTCGACTGGACTGCAGTCTCTGGGCTTCACCCTCAGACGGAGTTACAATGAGCTGGGCTTATTAATATTATTTCTAGCTATGGGGATAATGATATTTTCCAGCTTGGTGTTTTTTGCCGAGAAAGATGAAGATGCTACCAAATTCACCAGTATCCCTGCATCATTTTGGTGGGCCACCATCACCATGACCACTGTTGGCTATGGTGACATTTACCCTAAAACACTGTTAGGGAAAATTGTGGGTGGCCTCTGCTGTATTGCAGGAGTCCTGGTTATTGCCCTTCCTATACCCATCATTGTAAACAATTTCTCTGAGTTCTACAAGGAGCAAAAACGCCAGGAGAAGGCTATTAAAAGGAGAGAGGCTCTTGAAAGAGCCAAAAGGAATGGCAGCATTGTTTCCATGAACTTAAAGGATGCCTTTGCTCGAAGTATGGAACTGATAGACGTGGCGGTGGAGAAGGCTGGGGAGTCGGCCAATACCAAGGACTCCGTGGATGATAATCACCTGTCTCCCAGCCGGTGGAAGTGGGCCAGGAAGGCTCTGTCGGAAACAAGCTCCAATAAGTCCTATGAGAATAAGTACCAGGAGGTTAGCCAAAAAGACTCCCACGAACAGCTGAACAACACCTCTTCCTCCAGCCCACAGCATCTGAGTGCCCAGAAGCTGGAGATGCTATACAATGAAATCACCAAGACACAGCCTCATTCCCACCCAAACCCGGACTGCCAAGAACAGCCCGAGAGGCCATCTGCATACGAGGAGGAGATAGAAATGGAAGAGGTGGTCTGCCCACAGGAGCAGCTGGCTGTGGCACAGACCGAGGTCATTGTGGACATGAAGAGCACCTCCAGCATCGACAGCTTCACCAGCTGTGCCACCGACTTCACTGAGACTGAGAGGTCGCCCCTGCCACCCCCCTCTGCCTCTCACTTGCAGATGAAGTTCCCCACTGACCTCCCAGGGACAGAGGAGCACCAAAGAGTCAGGGCGCTTCCATTCCTAACACTAAGCCGAGATAAGGGGCACGCTGCCAGGGAGGTTACACTGGATTATGCCCCGATTGACATAACTGTGAACCTCGATGCTGGGACATCCCATGGTCCTTTGCAATCTGACAGTGCCACCGACAGCCCTAAGAGCTCGCTGAAAGGGAGCAACCCCCTCAAGTCCAGATCCCTCAAAGTGAACTTTCAGGAAAACAGAGGCAGTGCACCCCAGACCCCACCCAGCACAGCCAGGCCACTGCCAGTAACCACAGCTGACTTTCCACTCACGACCCCTCAGCACATCAGTACTATCCTTCTAGAAGAATCCCTGCCCCAGGGAGAGAGACCCTTGCTGGGTGCTGATGCTTCAGCACACTGTCAGGGACCTTCCAAAGGGCTATCTCCTCGGTTTCCCAAGCAAAAACTGTTTACTTTCTCTCCTAGAGAAAGGAGGAGCTTCACTGAGATAGACACTGGAGAAGACGAAGACTTCTTGGACCTCCAAAGGTCAAGACCAGACAAGCAAACAGACTCCAGTCCCAACTGCTTAGCAAATGAGCCTGGTGATGCCAGAGACCCATTAAGAGAAGAGGGCTGTGTGGGCTCCTCCTCCCCTCTGAACACAGACCACAACTGTAGGCAAGACAATTACCAGGCTGTGGGTGAAGTCAAAAAGGACAGTAGTCAAGAAGGGTACAAGATGGAGAACCACTTGTTTGCCCCAGAAATTCATTCTAACCCAGGAGACACAGGTTACTGTCCCACTCGTGAGACCAGCATGTGACTAGTTATAAAAGCAATAAAAAAAAAAAAAAAACTTGTTTCTAATGCGATTAGTAATGCCATGAACTAGAATATGGGAAACCCCTCGCCTAATAAAACAGTGCATAAAGTGTTATTTTTGCATGGCATGAACAGCTTAGTTTAAGTACTGTTTAAATAAAGAGTCAAGACTGCATTTTGTAACAAACAGGACCGAGTCCAGTACAGCGAGCCAATAAAGAGCCCTCTTAGGAACCAGCGCTCTGCCATGTCTGACATTTTTGATCCTTTCATTTCGAGCTGTAGGCAGATTTTCCGGCTCTGACTTTTACATAACCATGAATTTTAGGACGTGCACATGAAAGGATGAAATGCCGTTGCATGTGTCCATGCTTATGGGGTGTAAGGTGCTTTGAGCTTGCAAAATGCATAACTATGTAAATAGGCCTGGATGCAAAAGTGTCAAGAGCGTAGGGACCCGAGTTTCTGAGAGGCAGGTATTTCCTTCCCAGCCACCGCTTGGAGGAGCTGTCCAGACTTCCTGTTGCAAATCTGCGACCTCTTCTTAACACACTTTGTGCATCTTGCTTTGGATTATAAAGCTCTTATGTTTGTTTAAAGGAATACAGTATTTTTATTTATTTGGGAGATAATTCAGAGGATATGTTTATATGTATTTTAATTTATTTGGAATAAAATTCAGAGGGCATTTTTTTTCCGTTTTGCTTTTGCTTAGTTGTTGCATCTGTGCTGTTAAGTATAAACCATGAAAAGTAGTAAGATTTAATGACCAGATATTAAGTATTTGGAATTTAAGCTTGAACAATTTAGCTATAAAATAAATACCAGGTCACAGACTATTACAGAAATTCAGTTTTCATAAACTTCAAAATGGATAGAAGATTCTATCATAAAATTTCTAAAAAATTCAAATTGATATTACACATTTGGAATTTAATCATCTGTAAAACAAATTTCTTTTTAAAAAAATTCTTTTGGCACTGCAAACATGGCTGTGTTTTCCTCTAGTGTCCAACATACAAGTTAAGATTTGTGAAAATGGAAATTCCATAAAATGACTCTTGACAAACTAAAAGTAGAGCTCCCTTAATCAACAGAGCTGGCCCCCAAACGAGTCAACATGTAGGAGCCCAGGTCTGGAAATGGACCACTAAATACTCATCAGTATAGGATACAGGTCTAGGCTAATACTACCAGTCACAGAAGGATGTTGTTCTTGCAGGCTTTGACCCTTCCCAAGCATGGCCAGAGCACTCTCAGTAATTGCTACAACTAGACAGGCTTTCTCAGGTTTCCCGCCCCAAAACTCCCTAGAAAAGGTCAGGACTTTCCTTGCTAAAAGTCATTTCTGGCATTTTCCTATGGAGTACATTGGATGCAAAGGCACTGGACGCTCACCTTGCTTTGTGGATATCAAAAGGTTCTAGTTCCTGAGGAGCAACTGCCAGCCATGCAGTGTCCAGAATGACTCTACAATCTCTGTTGACATCACCTGTACCCAAATAAAAACAAAAACCAAATTATTTCTGGGTCCCCTTAAGATTTCAAATCAATGATTTCTTGTTTCCTGGCAACGTACAGATCTTGCCTCAGCCAAACGCATTCTGTGCATGTGTGCTCATGTGTGCTCATGTGTGCTCATGTGTGCGCATGTGTGCTCATGTGTGCTCATGTGTGCTCATGTGTGCAGAGAGTTCAGGGGATTGGGGAGACTAGCGGGACAAACTAAAAACAAAGCTTATTGTTTAAGGAAAAAACTCTAAATTTTGTTCTTTTTTAAAACAAAAACCATTCAGGAAAAAAAAATAGCCCAAATATTTAAAATCTAATATAAGTCTTTAATATTTATAAATTAATAGCTTCTGGTCATTAAATCTCAGATAAGAAAACAAGTTTTGATTTTTGTTAACATCCAGGCAGTCCTGATGTCAAAACTAATTTAAAACATTTCTTTGATCCCACTGTGCTTAGAATTTCTTAATGGTTTTCATGTTTGTTTCAAAACATAACCTTTAAGAGTGTATAGTCATTATTCAATGATATTTTTATTATGCATACTTCTTTTCGTGTCTAAGGACTACATGTGGATCAGTTTTTGTAAATCTAGAGTATTTGAATTTTCTATATATAGTTTTTCAAAGTCAAGCAGGTATATCTATTGTTAGATGAACAGCGAACAAGCTACAAAGATCGTCTTCTTCATACAGCCTCATGAAGCAGTTCTTTGCTAACGGCTCCTATCGATGAATCTCTGTGTTTTCTTCATCTGGCTTCCTCAGTGGACTCATTGCCCTGCCATATGACCAGTGTCCGACTCTCCGTGTGTCTGTCAGGGTTTCTACTGAGAACCCTGTTCCATCTGCTTACGATCAGGACCCTTACCCAGTCTAAAAGTCTCTGCTGTTTTCCTAAAGAGTCTTTCCCTGTCATCCTAAAGGGTTCATAGGAAGATCTCTGTCTGATTTGTTTTTAAGTCTTAATGAATTTTTTTTAAAAAATCATCCCTTGGAAGTCTCATCCCTTGAGTTCTCTTAATTCCTCTGAACCAGAAGTCTTCAGCTGGGAGAAACAAAAGAAAAGTTCCCTCCGGGAGATCTTTGACTTTGCTATTTCGCACGAAGGAATCTCCCAGAATACACCTGTGAAGCCCTTCTACACTTCAGCAAAGGGCGCCTAACTCAGAGGAGACCGTGTCTGTCTGGAAAGACCTGGATCCACCTATCAAGTGCAGAGTTCTTCTGAGGTCTTTTATGTTCTACATTAAAGTTCATGTCCATGCTGCAACTTATTCCATGATATATCTGTTTCAGTATTTTTTTAAATGCTGTTTTATATTAGTAATCAACAGTAAAACTAACAGTCTTACGACTTCAAATACCTCTTTTGTATCCCTTGGAAAATGCCACCCAGGTGTAAGAAGGCCTGCCTGAATGGAAACCTCTTAGAAGGTTGTGCTTCCAAGAGTTTCACCACTAGCTAGCTCAGTGACCAGGAACAAATGTGCCAATGAAAGAGACTATTTGAATGGTCTCGAAATAGCATGATCCCTCAAATAGCGAAGCTCTTTCTGCTGGCTTTCTTAACCAGCATAAATTGCCACAAGATGTTTTTATCTCAAAGATAAGAGCATAGAAATAAACCTGCATTGAGTCGTTGGGATGTAGATCAGTGGTAAAGTGCCTGCCTGGCATGCACGATACCCTCTTTATTCCCCACCACTGCAGAAGACAAAAGAAAAGAAAGGAAGGAAGAAATGCGTTATATATGTAGGTCCATACATATACTGAGTGGGTCCCTGAAACTGACTTAATTATTCTCTAAACATTTCACTACAAAGTCCCTCAGTCCGACCCAATCAGCTGCTCTGAAACAAGATGTGATCAAGCACTCTCATGATAAGATTAGATCTGATGGTGACTATGTGCCCAGTGTCTGTTCCTGTTTTCTCTTGTTAATATTCTTACTCTCAAGCTGGCCATGAAAATGTAACAATTTATTTTCTCTTGAAATTAGAAAGATGGGGGGGAGGGAATGGCTTAGGAATGTAGACTATTTCACAGTTCCTTCTCAACAGCCTTCAGAATTACCAGTAAAGGACAAGAGAAGCCTGTTCTTTGTCCAGTTCCGCACAGGTCACTGGTAAGTGGACGACCCTGACCTCAAGAACATCAGCTGACTTTCAGTCTGGCACCCCAGTATCCCACTAGAAAGATACCAACCAGTTGCTTCTATCAATGCCTAAGATTATGTAAATAAACAGGAACCATATTGATGACATGAAGGGATTTTCAAGAGCAGGAAAGTCAGTGAGGTAATAAGGCCCTGAGAATCATTAGGAACCAAGCTGGGCATTATATTTGCCAGTTGGGAATTCTGGCCATGTTACACACGTCCCTTAGCTAAGGAGAAAGCCCCATTGTTTGCAATGAGATATGACATACACATGAGTCAGAAGGTCGCAAAAAGCACTGATATTACCTCCAATGGAAAGCAAAGCACAGCATTTATTGGACTTAGTCACTGTTTTGCTGTTTACTCCTTCAGATGATTCTAGGTGAACTCTTCCTCTGCCATGCCATTCACATTAGCCTGAGCAGAGCACAACTCTCAGCCTCGTGGAACTTCCTGCCGCTTTTGGCTACATCACCCATACGAAGGTGAAGATATACTTGGGGTTACTGCCAAAAGGTCAACTATCAGGCTGAAAAACATCACCCAGTGCTCTCATCAGAGAACTACAGAACATAAATAAATTACATTACTTTCTCAAAGAAACATTTTCCTAAGAAATAGATGAATTGTATAAGGCCAAATTTATAATTACGTTTGATTCGTGTTTAGTTTTTGTAGTGGAAATGACAAATTGTTGATCTGATTGAGGGAGGTCGCAAACCATCTTTGTTGTCTGGTAAGTTAAAAAATAATGCTTTATGGTTGGGAATGTACCTCTGTGATAGAGCACTCACCTGCATGGGGCCCTGGGCTCCAACCCCAGTACCAAAAAGAAAAAGAAATGACTTTTTAATTAGATATATTTCTCATCAAAATAGCTAATAATAGTCTGTCAAAAGTAACTAGAGCAAAATTTAATACTAGTGGAAAAGGATTTAAAATTTTTACATTTATGGATAAATTTTAAAATGGAACATTTTAGTGCTTTTCTTCCTGCAGTCTCTTGGCAATGCTACAGGAATATAATATTATTCTCTACTTAATCCTCTAAATTCCTAAAATTTAAAAGTCAACATTCAAACGCCCCTTGGCTTGACTCAAAGAATTTAATCACTAGGTCCATGAAGATTTGAAAGTATATTAGTTACTTTGCAATTGCAATGTCTTCCTCAAAGTAACATAAAAAAAATTTTAAAAGAAAAGGAAATAAAAGAAAACACATAAGAGAAAAGAGAAAGGGGTTTGGTGGCACGTGCCTTTCTTCTAGCACTTGGGAGGCTGAGACGGACAGGTTCAGAGTTTAAGCACAGCTGTGATGACATAGTGAACTTCAGATCAGCCTGGATAATCTAGTAAGACCCTGGACCAAAGGGCAAGGTGGATGAGGAGAAAGAACAGGAAGAGGAGGACAATGAGCAGCAGCAGCAGCGGTAGCAGCAGCCAGACATAGTGGTGCGCACAGGAGTCCCTACACAGGAGATAACAGCGCGCTAAGCTTGAGTTCTGGAATTTGAGCATTGCATTCCTTAGTAAGTCTAAAAGCATAGTACATATACGTTATATATATTATATATATACATTAGAGAGAGAGAGAAAGAGAGCAAGAGGTATAATAAAAATGTATTAGTGTATTCTTAATTTGTTGTATACACCTGCATAAATGTACTTATACAAATATATATTATGAAATTTGGATGCTTAGGAGATACATGAATAGAATCCTTTACTTCCTTTCCTCAAGAAGATATTTCTTATCATCAACAATTCCAGCTTACTGTTGGAACATAACAGAACTTTCCCGAGCATCTCTAATTGCCCGAAGCTGACGAATACATACAGTCCAGGCATCTCCAGTCCACAGCCTAGCAGATGCTTCGTGCTTAAGTGCTTGTGTTCCAGTGTGAAATCCAGTTTCCCAGAGTGGGCTAAAAGAGCAGGACAAGACAGCTG